ATCAAACCCAGTTCTCCCAGATTAGAGTCCACGCACTTAACCACTACACCAAACTGGCTCTATTATAGCCTGTATACTTTTTTTCTTTCTGCCTCTAATTGTGTTAAGGGGAGATTTCTATCAGGGAAATGGTAAACGAATTCCTCCCACACCACTGCAAACTTGGTTTATTTTATTTCATTTTACTTCATTTACACCTAGGGTTGCCAAATAATTTTCACTCAACGGCGGGGGAGTCTGCGTCCCGTCCGGGAGCAGTCCTCATGTGTGCGCGCGCGTGCGCTTTGCGCGCGCGCGCCACCGCGACGTCACCAGAAGTGACGTCAGACGCTACCGACGTTGGGGGCGTGGCCGAGCTCGTCGGGGGGGAACATATGGGTTCCCCCTGGGCCCCGATTCTGCCAGGGCGGGAATCGGGGGCTCCGAAGTGGGGGGTTACCCGCCCCCCGGGAACATTTGGCAAGCCTACGCTGAAGGCATACTGCTGGGAGCAGTCTTTGCCTCCATGAAAGGAGGGAGGAGTTCGGCTGCTGCTGTCTTAACGGCGGGTCAGCGCTGTCTTAACGGCGGGCTCTAGCCCCATTCAGGCAGTCTGCGCCTCATGCTTGGCAGCTGTAACAGCTCCGAGCATGCCTTGAAGTTTGAGCACCTTTAGGAAGCAGCTGCAATTGGGGCTTGGCTGTCCAGCGACCCCGGAACAGGCTGCAAATTCAGTATTAAAAAGAAAAAGAAAAAAACATGCGGTGGCACGGCGGCACTCAGCACGGCTGCAGCACCTTTGAAGATGGAGCAGTTGGGGCAGAGAGTTGGGGCGTCCTAGCTGAAGGTAGAGCCGCTTCAGGATGAGCGTTTGGCCACGTCGCGGTGGGAGCAGGGCCGCATTGTGGCTAGAGCGGGCCGCATTAGCGGCCGGAGTATTGGGGGGGTGCTGGTGACACAATTGGGGGGCCATGCTGGTGTTGGTGCTTGTTCGGGGCCTGCCCACACCGGCTGCTTGTTCCTTGGCTCGGAGCCACTGGTGGTTGGAACTGGGTTGCGTCGAAGCCTTGT